TTTCTATAATTTCATTTGGAGCAAGGAAAGTCATCTGGAAACTTAAAACAATTTAATACTTTTCCCATCTCCGTTACTATAGATTTCCCAATTATTTGTCAAAACAACAAAAAAGACTTTACAAAGACTTACATTTCCTTGAACACACTTCCTTTTTCCTTCTTTAGCCAATAGGATACTGTAGGCCAAATGACAGAAAGTTGTTGTGTGGTCTTACCTAGCAAAATTAGCCATTGCCAAAAATTGATTTCAAGCATTGAATGCATTTACCCTTGTCTGTCCACATTTTACCAATTAGGATCAGACATTTAATATTTTTTACTAACCATTGCATTTCCATTTAATTTAAAATTACAACTGAAGATTTTTAGGTGCTATTTTTCTTTGAAGGAGGAGAAAGGAGGTGACTAACAAAGTTCCTTTATTTTCAAATACTGAGTTGTGTCTTCCAGGTCCTGTTTCATTGACTTCTGTCTGTTCTTTGTCGTGTATACCTGGGCTGCAAAGGGCTATTCTTTACTTTCTGACTTTTATAAATAAGCCCTGCCCTTATTATGGAGCTTATGTCTACATATTGATATTTTAAAAATATATATGTCTCTCTGCTGCCTTTTTAAAGAAAGTGGCAGCTAAATTAAATCATTACCAAAGGGTAAAATTTCTGTCAATGTGACATCTTTCTTGGTCATCATTAAAGACAATAGTTCTTTGGTTTTGTGGGGCTATTGATTTCCACTATTTAATGTCCATATACATATATGTTTCAACAAGAGCTGACTCTACTTTTTAACCCTTTTGGGTTCAGGTTTTCTCAGCCTCAGAGTAGATTTTAAGCTACACTTTTTTCTTGGGGACTGTGTATGTCTGCATGCTGAAAATCCCAATTGGCATAAACTAAAATGGATTGATGGGTTTTTTGCAGCTATAGCAGGACTTGTTTTCATCAGAAAATAAAGAGCATTTTCAGTTAATTCAGTCTCCTAACCTTTCATGAAAGAGATGGACATTGACTGCATGTGACAGAAGAAAGTCCCTGGGCACTGAAAGGGTGTAGCTGGCTTCTTTATAAAAGCAGCCCCTGAAGTTCAGCGACAAGCTGAAATGCCAAGCCTTGCACAGTCGTATTAATAACCTCCTTGATTTTTTTGAGTGCTGCAAGGACTTGGTGGCAGTGAAAAGAAAGTTATCAAGAATTTAAAAGAGAAGCACTAATATTTGACTGGCCATATATGAAAATTCCCAGCTTAAGTGATTTTTAAAATGCCATTAAAACATGGTGAGAGAGTGGAAGCTAAAAGTGTCTTCCTTCATTTGCCCTGTGTGATACTCCGTGTAAGTTGAAGCGGGGTGGGGGGGAAATCCATCAGAATGAATTACTGGAAAAATAGAAAGAAAATCTACAAAATCTCTACACAAGCTGGACATAAAGGTGAAAGTATTAAAGCCCTTTGGAAACCAGATGCTAGCAAATTGAAGATGGTATCCAGAAACTTACAGATAGTTTTTAACCAAAATCAAACAAAGGAAAAATGACCTCACTGAAACTATACAGATGTATAGTTCAGAAAATACCTGTGAATCCTGCCGTGGTGGCAGTGGAACTTCAGGAAAAGAACACAGCAATAGAATAGTGTGACAGGTCATTCTAATAATCAACATTTTTGAAGTGTCCATGTAGATCCAGTGGAGTGTGTGTATGTATCCAGATCCATATTTATAAGGAAAAATGTCATATATGGCTATAAATGGTGATATATGGATTTCCATATGTGCATACACACATATGTAAATGTGTCACAGCCTGATAGATTTCATTGTTCCAAATTTCTCTTCTTAGGCCCTCTTGAGCAGGGTGCTTCAGTTGTACAGTTTCAGTCACAAGAGTCCAAGCAATTTGTTGCAGCAGAGGCTGTTTTCCAATACTCTAACAAAAGAGGTCTCAATCCCAGCCCAAAAGCAAAGTATTAAATATTTCAGTCCAGTGTGCCACTGCTGTAACTTGGGCTGCAGAAAAAAAGCTCTTCTGGAACAGCTCTTTTTAGAGCCAGAGATGCTCCTAATTTGGATAAACTCCATGAATATATTTGAATAAAGCCCAACAAAACAAGATCATCTGTAACCCTTTTAAGACCTATGTCTTCTTTCAAAAATGCTTTCTGGTTTGTTTTTTTGTTTGTTTGTTTGTAGTTTTCAGGGGTTTTTTGTGGTTTAGAGGTTATTTTGGTAAATTTACAAACTTAATGTGCTCCTTTCTGCTTCACCAGACTCTGGTGTTTCTGCAATATTATCCTTAAGATAACATCTAAAGGGCTGCAGGACCCATTCAGAAGTCTCCGGTCCCACAGGACTGAAACATCCCGCAACTTTCTTGCGGCGATGTTCCTGTGCAGAGCCCGTAGGGCTCCGGGGCAGGGAGCAAGGACGGAGACGGCTTGTAGGGAGTCGGGGAGGACATTCCCCGGATTGCCCCCTTGATTACCAAGGACGTAGATTGGCAGGCGATAGGAATGACAAATACTGGGTATGGTACGGTGACATACATGACGTGACAAATACTTTGGTACGGTGGCTGGGATAACTTTAATTTGCGGGACGCGAGAGTGGGTGAATTACAGCTCTTTCCTCAGCATACAGAGTGAATGAAGAAGCCCCCGCGTTACTTCCCGAAGCTCCGCTGAAGGTCTCCGCGCAGTCTGGTTCCAGGGGACTCCCGGGGGGGCAACCCCGACCCCGGCCGCCACCGCCGCCAGAGCCCCGGCTCGGCGGGAGCTGCGGAGTACGAAGCAGGGATGGAAGCTGGGCTGCTGTTCTCCCGAGCTGAGCTGAAAACAACCCCAAGTCAGCGAAGGATTCATCAATCCTTCGTTCGTTAGGGAGAGCTTCACCCCGGGCATATTTCGAAACAAAACCCTTTCCCGGGACAGCCACAGGTTTTGTGTCCCCCTCTCGGGTGCAATCCGCAGGAAACCTAAGCAACATCGAAAGCTTGTCTACCTTGCCCAGATGAAGGCGAGGTTACCTGAGTTTTTTGGGGAAAAAAACCCCAATAGCCTTGAACTACGCGGCACCTAAAGAATGTTTGAAATAATGTGACCCTTTCAGTCCATAAAACCGTAAAATTAACTCCCTTAAAACCTACATAGTGTTTTTGTAAAATATCTTTCCGTCCCTGCCCAGGCCCGGGAGAGGCAGAACCCGAGGGAGCGGGCTGTCGGAGCGCAGCCCGGGCTGGGGCCGGCCCAGCCGAGAGGAGCCGCACCGGGGCTCTCCGGCAGCGAGAAGGGGCGCAGCGGCTCGGCCTCGGCAGCGCCCGGCAAGACGTTCCTCGGCTTGTTCTGCTTTCAAAGCAGGGCAGCTAGCCCGAGCTCTGCGACTCCAGCGACTGGTGCACTTCGTGCTGGAGCGTCGGAGTTTTCCCGACACATTTTTGTTTGTCTTATTCAGTCGAACGAGATCCATGCAAAAATTGAGGAAACATTATCCCGGAGAGAACGCGTGGTTAGGGCTGGGGCTAGAATTTCATTGCCGGCTGTGAGCAGCCTAGCCCAGGCTCACCGGCTGTGTGGCCGCAGCCTGAGGTGGGCACCGCAGGGACCGCCGTCTCTCGGCTTCCACCTGGGGTGGGGGTTGAGTCCTGCCCGTCCCCGGCCTCGGCGGTCAGCACCGGGCGTGCTCCGCCGCCAGCACCTGCCGGCGCCCGGCTTGCTCAGGATGCGCATCCCGGCGGGGCTCCGGCAGCGCCTCGGCCCCGGCTCTCGGTGGCCGCGGTCAGCTGTTCGCCATTTATCCCAGCTGGATAAATCCGATGAGGCCTGGCGGGAGCGGGGGGCCAGTGGGCCGAGGCGGTGAGGAGGGCGGCAGAGATCCGGCTGGATCCTTCTGTCAGGCAACGAAATCCTGGCCGCTCAGCGGGTCTGGTTTAAAATTCAGCCGTGAGGTGGAGGCAGGTGTTTGCAGCGCTCCCTGCGAGATGGCCGGTGGCGGGCGGAGGGCGAGGGACTGCGGATTTGTAGCTGCAAATCATTCACGCCGGCTTTGCCCGCTCCACAAAATCACACGGGCATCTACCTCTTCCCAAGCGCTGTTCCCTACCCTTTTGGGGCTAAAGGCTAGGGGATTTACACTGAGAGAAAGAGCCAAACAGAACTGGCACCCGCTTCAATTAAAAATCTGCCTTCCCTATGGGAGATGCTGAAGGGGAGCCCGCGTTGTGAGAAACCGACTGCCGAATTCCTGAAAACTAGAATTGCTAACCGAGCCCGCTGCTTCCCACAGATAAGGTGAAACGTGTTAACCCCATGATAAGGATGCTGTCCAGGGAGCGGAGAGGGAGGAAGGAGGCTGTTTGGCTCATCAGAGACACAAGCCGAATTGTTTGAACGAAGAGGCGGCCGGCGGGGAGGTTGCGAGGGCCCAGCGTCCTCCGCCTTGTCTCAGCGGCCCAGTTGATCGCCGCCCTCCCTACCTGACGAGTGCCGGCTTTCCCACCCAAACCTTTCCCTTTCGTCCCCATCTCTCGCTCAGCGCCGGAGATTATTCCTTACGCGCCCGAGCGGTAGGACGGTCCCACCTCAGCAAAAGGTCTTTTATTCGGAAGAGGGGAAGCCGGGCTCTCCTCCGCAGCCACCGTGGGGTGATGAGGGAGCTCCCCTCAGTCTGAGCGACGTGGGGGCACGGAGCGGGCCAGAACCTCCCGGGTAGCCGGCTGCGGGAAGGGGGGCCGTGGAAGAGGACGGGGCGCACACCAAAGTCACAGGTGACTTGTTCCAATTAGTAGCTGTCTAATTAAATTAGTGTTATGCGGCCCAGCCAATGGGCCGGCGGGGGTGGAGGGCGATGATGAGGCAGCCCGGCGCAAGCCCCTCCCCGGCGGCCCGAGGAGCCCCGCGCACCAGTATAAAATCGCCTCGGCGGAGCATTGCCGAAGCGTAGCCCTGCGTGGCCACGGGTCGGGGTCGACTCAGGATTGAGTGGGAGCTCTAACGCACCGCCCATCCAGGATGCAGCTGGGTGAGCCGCTGCTGACGGCGGCAGGGGCACTGCCGGGCGCCCCCTTCTACCCGCTGGAGGGCGGCGGGCGCGGTGGAGCCGCTGGAGCCGGGACGGGCGCTCCAGGCGGCTCCCGCGGGCCGCCCGGTCCGGGATCGCCGCAGCGCCTCGACCTGGACAAGATGCCTAAGAAGTTTGGAGCGGCGCCCGCCATCCTGGGCGAGGCGGAGACCGTCGAGCCGCCCTTCGCCGCCCCCAAGCCGGACGGCCGCAAAGCCACCCCATGTGGGGACGAGGAGCTGCCCCCGGCCGCCGCCGCCCGCTACTCCATGGATAGCCTGAGCCCCGAGCGCTACTACCTGCAGTCCCCCGGACCGCCCGCCGCCGACCTGGGGGGGCCCTGCGCCCTGTTCCCGTACCCGCCGGCGGCGCAGCACGGCGCCGTCTATCAGCCGCCCGGCGGGCCGCGCTACCCCTACGGCTCCGTGCTGTCCCCGGGCGGCTTCGCGGGCGCCGTGTGCCCGCCCGGCGGCCGATCGCAGTTCGGAGGCGGCGGCGGGTATCAGTACGGGCAGTCGACGGGCGGCGGAGCCCTCTACGGCCCTTATCCGCCGGCGTCGGGCTCCTGCGGAGGCCTCGGCGCGCTGGGGGTGCCGGCCGCCGGCCCGGGGATGCGGGCTCAGGTCTTTCTTTGCAACCGGCCTCTCTGGCTCAAGTTCCACCGGCATCAGACGGAGATGATCATCACCAAGCAAGGCCGGTAAGCGGACGCAGAGGATGGTGGAAACGGAGGGAAGTGGTATGGTGGTCGGGAATAGGGAGGGGGGAGGTCTCAGCCCCGGGGACGCTCCCTGTCGGGTGGTGCTTGCCCGCTCCCCCGGGAAGGAAGTGCGCCCTCTCTCCCTCTGTGGTGCCCCGGGATGCTTTCCCGAGAAGCGACTCCCCTGTTTCCCCACACGCGGTGGCCGGGAGATAAGGTGGGGGTCGGCTGGGGCTCGCCGCTTGCTTCCGCAGTCTCTTCGATGCCGGGACGGACGGGGCACCCCACGGCCGCCTACAGCATCCGCCGGAGCCCGCGCCCCCTCCCCCGGCCCGTCTAAGCATGCCTTGTGGTTTTCCTCCTTTCCCTAGGAGAATGTTTCCCTTCCTGAGCTTCAACATCACCGGCCTCAACCCCACGGCGCACTACAACGTTTTCGTGGAGGTGGTGTTGGCGGACCCCAATCATTGGCGTTTCCAGGGGGGCAAGTGGGTGACCTGCGGCAAGGCCGACAACAACATGCAAGGTGGGTGCAGGTTCCGAGGGTCGGTTTCTCGGAAAGGGTTCCCAGTTCCTCCCCCCCTCCCCCTTCAGGGTCTTCCCCACGCCCGGCATCCTGCTGAGGGACGAGGCATGCTTTTAAGGTCGTCTTGCAACTCTTTTTGGGCCACGGTGTGGGAGGGTGGCCATCGGGGAGCGGAGGGGCTGCACGGGCGGCGTAACAAAGCCCCTGCCCGGCCGGCGTTTCACTGGCTTGTCTTTCCCCAGGCAACAAGGTCTACGTTCATCCTGAGTCGCCAAACACCGGGGCTCACTGGATGAGGCAGGAGATTTCTTTCGGGAAGCTGAAGCTCACGAACAATAAAGGCGCTAACAACAACAACGCGCAGGTAAGGAGGGAGAGGGAGGCTTGAAGGGCTCTTCGTGGCTCAGCGGGGGAGCTCTGGGGTTTTGGGGCTTTTACAGCATTTCATCAAGTCGCTAAATCACTCTGCTTGTGAGTCGTTCCCCTCTTGAGCTGGGTCATGGAGCTTGTTTTCTTTGTTCCTCCGTATGAATAGTTGAAAATGTTGGAAATATGATGTGTGAATTTCTTTTGTTTTGGACAATATATTGATCCCCTGGAGTTGTTCAAAAAGTGGGAGGGTAACAGATAGCTCTTGGTGAAACAGGACTGCAAGCTGTGACTCAGCTCCTGATAACAGTTAAAACTGCTCCACTTCTAAACCAAGAGATTACAATTTACATGAAGAAAAGGTCATTCTGTAAAATAGGTCTTTTAATGTTACAAGCAGTTTACCTAAAGATGTTGTCTCTTTCATGGTTTCTTTTAGATGATAGTACTTCAGTCCCTACACAAGTACCAACCCCGACTTCACATTGTGGAAGTGACTGAAGATGGTGTTGAAGATCTGAATGATTCCTCGAAGACTCAAACGTTTATTTTCCCTGAAACGCAGTTCATAGCAGTTACAGCATATCAAAACACTGATGTAAGCATGAATGTATAGAATTGCAATTAAGAATAAAATTGATTAACTTGTGGGCTCAGAATCACATCCTAATATATTCTGCTTTCACTTTTAGATTACACAGCTCAAAATTGACCATAATCCTTTTGCAAAAGGCTTCAGAGACAATTATGACTCGTAAGTACACCTCTGTCTTCTTTTGCACGTGTGTCAGTCTAGGAGGCACGATTCTGGCCTGAAATGCCTGTGGAAGGGTTTTTTCTTTAGACACTAATTCGGTTATTCACCAGAACTTCTTCTGCTGGCACTTTTGCATATATTAAAGTATGTGAATAGTGTATTGTCTAGGTGACCTGCCTTTCTGTTGGCTTCTGAATATTGGTAGGAAACTTATGCTGGCAGAACCCAGCTGGCCTGAAGACTTCACTGGCAGCGGTATATTGGATGTCTCTACAGAACAGGCAGTTTCTTTAAATTGTCAGCAGAAGACTTGCCTAATAATTGCTTTCTGCCTTCACTTGTACTATTGCTTGCAGCAGTAATAGAAAACTTACAGTGGTTTAGGAAAAAGTGCCTGCTAAATCAGATTAAAAAATATCCAGCCAATTAAATATAGTTATGATTCTAATTAAGAAATATCTATTTTCTTTGTGGTTTTGTGTTGTGTTACTGTCATACTGGAATTGTAAAGAAAAACACTATTTCTCTTTTATGTTGTAGCATGTACACAGCTTCCGAAAATGACAGATTAACTCCATCTCCCACGGATTCTCCTAGATCCCACCAGATCGTCCCTGGCGCCCGATACAGTATGCAGCCATTCTTCCAAGAACAGTTTGTCAACAACCTGCCCCCAGCCCGCTTTTACAACGGTGAGAGAGCTGTCCCTCAGACAAATGGCCTGCTGTCCCCACAGCCGAACGAGGAGGTGGCCAGCTCTCCTCAGCGGTGGTTTGTGACGCCCGTGCAGCAGCCTAGTGCCAACAAACTGGACATGAACTCCTATGAGACGGAGTATTCTCATAGCACCTTGCTCCCTTATGGCATTAAATCCCTCCCCCTTCAGACATCCCACGCTCTGGGATACTACCCTGACCCGACATTTCCATCCATGGCAGGCTGGGGGAGCAGGGGCTCTTACCAGCGAAAAATGACAACAGGACTAACTTGGACCTCAAAAACGAGTCCTCCGGGATTCACTGAAGACCAGCTTTCCAAGGACAAGGTGAAAGAAGAAATTGGCTCGTCCTGGATAGAGACTCCACCTTCTATAAAGTCTCTAGATTCAAATGATTCTGGGGTCTACACAGGTGCTTGTAAGAGAAGACGCCTTTCCCCTAGCACTTCCAGCAATGAAAATTCCCCGACAATGAAATGTGAGGACATTAATGCTGAGGACTATAGCAAAGACACTTCAAAAGGCATGGGCTACTATGCATTCTATACTAGTTCTTAAAGCATCTTTTTTTATTCCAATTGGCTGATTTTTAATTATTTTTTTTCAGGGTGGCCTTGGGTTTTTTTGCATTACAATTGCCAAAAAGACTCTTTGCCTTCCACCTTGAGTTGTTGTGTGCAATTCTAAAGAAGGTGCCAAAGCTTTTTGACTGTTGCAGGTAACAAAGTAGGGAAATAGCAAACCATGGGAGAATTCTTCCCCTTGTTTAGGAGGAGCCATATGCAGAAGCTGTAAGAACTCTAGTGTCTAAATATGTGGTGTGCTTATTTGAGACACTAAAGTGTACAGTTTGGGTTGGCTCAGAGGCCTGATCAAATCTATGCACTCCTGAGCAAGGAAAAGAGGGTGTGGGATCCCAAATTTAATTTTCTTCCCTTCTTGATAAAAGGGAACTGGTTTGCAGGGAACTGCACAAATGCTATGTTCTGCTTTAAACTGAGATGTTTTTTTCAACCCATCCACAACACAGTTGGCTGAGTTGGATATTGCTCAGCTACAGCTTTTTTTTTTGGCAGAAAGTGCCAAAATAAGGCCTGCTTGCCAGGCAGGATTTTGACTTGAAGGTCTTGTTGCCAACAACAGGATTACAATGACCAAATCTGACTTTTCTTAGCTTAGAACTTGCATTAAAAAAACCCTGCCTCCATTCCAAAAGCCTAACCTTTATTGAGGTGGCCAAAAACAAAGTGTGCAGTTGTGTTTTGTCTAGGTACACTGTAGAATATTGTGGAATAATGTATAAATAGTTGACCTATAGCTGTTCAGTTGGAAGGACATCCGGTGGTGTTTTGAAGTTCAAAAGGCTTTTTCATTTTTTTAAAATTTTTTTGGGGTTAATCAAACTTAGCATATGAAGCATTGCAAAAGGAGATTTCTATTTATGTGTATGTAAAGTGACTTTTTCAGCTGCCCTGTATAAAATTGGAAGTGATGTAACTTTACCCATTCTTGCCTATACTTTCAGCCATTTTAAACTGATCAGCCCCAGAGCAACTTGCCCACAAACTTTTTCCCCTTCCAAGAAACTTGTTTTAGTTTTTTTCTATGTACATAGTAATAATTTTTAATAAATGTGATGGTGCCAGACATGAGGGTATGGCTGTGCCTCATCTTTGCCTCTTCTAGGTGTCCACACATTGGAGGAGGGAGCATAGTCCTAGGGCTTGAGTTGTCTGTTGTCTCTAAATCCTTTCAGCCTTTCTAACCTTCATCTGTTGCACTCTGGGTGGGTTGTTTTTTTTTTTGTTTTTTTTTTTTTTTTTTTTTTTTTTTTTGTTTTTTTTTAAGTCTCTTGCGTTGCCACGGTTCTCCTCTGCATCTTCTGTAGCAACCGGGAGCCCCTGACCAGCTCCAAAATGGGACGGTCTCCTGTCCCCTGCCACCCCCCCCATCCCCCGCCTCTGCGACAGGCGAGGTGCTAGCACGGCCCGGACAGCGAATTGTGAACCCACCCCGCCTGCGCCCGCCGCCCCCTTCTCACCCCCTCCGCTTCCCGGAACAAGGCAAGAAATTCCCCTGCCCGCTTATCTGAGGGGGAAGCTTTTGGCAGAGCGATTGAATCCCAGCTCCCGCGGCAGCGGGACCTTTCCTGAGGATATGCAGGCAGTAATGGGATTAAGCTGTTAACGATTCCCGGCTGCAAACAAAATAACGCCGGGGCTCAGGCCGGGGCTGTCCCGGGTGGAGGTAATGCTATCGGGGCGCGCCGGCAGGGGCTCCCCTCCTCCGGAGCGGGGCGCGGCGGGTGGCCGAGGAGATTTCGATCAGCGCTTCGCCTCTCGGGGCGACGCTCTGGCTCTCCGCGGTAGCAAGCTGTGCTGTCAACTCTTCCTCTGCCCCAGGACCCCATCTGGAATAGAACGGGGACTTGCGACAATTTTTAAGAAACAGGGGACGGAGCATATTATTCCTTAATTTTACTTTTCCTTTTTTAAATTTTTGTTTTCCAGTGGTGCCACCCCCTCCCGGAAAAGCCCCCGGGCAGGGCTGTTCCCCGTCCCCAGCCGCGGGGTGCGGTGGCGGCATGCCGGCCGTCCCCGCCCGCCCAGCAAACACCGATTACACAGCACGATGCCACCGCGCTGCGTTATTAAAAGCTGTATATTTTTGCACGGTACGGTGAAAAAAGAACTTAATACTTGTGACAAGTCCTCACACTGTTTAATAGAAACGTAAGTGCCTGGCTGGCCCCAATTAACACCTTGTGATTATAATGCATTCCTAAAATGGGGTGTCAGACGCCAAATTGTGAATAAAGGTATCTAATTAATCTTCATAGGATGACACTGATAAACAACGCCAGATTTAAATAAAGATCAAGGAACTGAACGTTTTTTATTTGTTTACATTAACAGAAGATAAAGTTAACTACCCCTGCACTTTGCTTCGTAATGTGATTTGCTACCGCAAACAGCGGGCTGCGGGCGGACAGCCCCACCTCGCCTCGGCGGCTTTTTCTCGCTGCTTTGGAGGGAGGGGGACACCCCGAGGGTGAGTGCCCCTTCCTCCGCAGCCCCCAGGCCGCCGGGTGAGGCGGGCGTGTGCCGGGAAACGCGGCAGCACCTCGGCCTGGCAGCGAGCGCTGCAAGGGAGCGCGCCCCGTCCCCGCCACTTCCGAGGCTCTCGCATGAAGCCGTGCGAGTTTGAAACGTCAGCTGGACGGGCACGGTGGGTCTAGAGAGAAATAAAGAAATAAATAACAGTTGTTTACACCGCTGCGGTGGAGTGCGAGCCCTGCCCGATGAAGAGGGGAAACTTGGTTTTTGGGTCAGGGAGGATCCGAACTTCGGCGGCTGCCGGCGGGGCAAAGGCTCTGCACGACCAGGGGCTCGGCTCCTTTCCCCCGCCGGCCCCGTGAAGCCGGGATCCGCACCCTGGGGCCGCTCCCCGAGAGTTTGCAGTTCCTGGGATATTCCCTCGCTTGAATCGAGGGCGCGGTTCCGTGCTCTGGGTGCGTAAATCTGATCTTTAAACAGCATTAGCGCCCGGCGGGGCAATAGAAGCAGCGGAGACGGGCTCCTCCGAGGCTTTGAGGCCATTCCTCGCCGAAGACTCTGGGTTCTAGGGGTGTTTTCGTTAAAGCAGACCTGGCACCTCGAGAACAACCCTCTGGTAATTATTTTCCAACGAAACTTCATCTCCCGCTGCTCTCCCCAAAACGTATCGCTGCCTCTTCACACCCAGGGGGGAAAACGAAACGACCCCGAAACTTTCTTCCGACGGCACCGCCCCGACCGTCTCTGGAGTAAGGGCTCCTTCTTCCTCAGGGCAGCCACCTCAGCGCTCCTGGGAAGAAGGAGCAGATATTTTTCGGTGTTTTCTCTTCGAGTAATGAGATGGGGTTTTACTTTCGGTCTGAATTTCCGCTCCCACCTTCCTCAACGCCGCCTTTTTAACACCTGCTCGCTTGTTCCCACCTCCTCCTCTCTGAGGGGAGCGTGGCGTTAACGGAGGGGCTGTCCCGGGAAAGGTTATTTTGGCAGCCCCGCGCTGGGTCGCCTCTGGGGCGGCGGCCGCCGAAGTGTGAACAGGGCCCCGATGGCTCCTGCGGCACCTTTCTGCTTCAGAAATTCCCCTTCCCAACGGGAATACCGGGCAGCCGTGCCGGGAGAGTCGGCGGTGGACAGCTGTGGGGTCTCGGCTCTGGGTAGAAAGTGGAGGCGGGGGGGAATGAGGTGAGGAAGATGGGGCCCACCGGCACTTCCTCATGCCCGTCCACCCCATGAAATTGTGACTTTCATTACTATATTATATTATTATTAATAATAACATTATTACTTCTATTATTATAAATAATTTTTTTACTGCCCTACCATTTTTTTATACATTCAAGCCCAATTCCCCAGCCCCCTGAGCTCTGTAGCCCACTCATCATTTTCCCCAGATCTTCATAGCCGTGATCATAATAATATGAGTGTGGCTGATATAAATATTAATCTAATCCTTATTGGAAGGATTTTGGTGCTTTCTGGGTATCACAGATATGTAATCCAGGGGAGAATGACATTAGCCTGAAAGAGTGGAGTGCAAAATATGATTTGAATAAAAAGATAGGGTGGTATCTAATATTTCCTTTAGGGAGTACTATACTCTGAGCTGTCACAACCGATTGCGTAAATAGAGGAGACTGAGGGATGTGATCCTAATCATATTGATGAAACATTCATCTGAAAGACCGAGTGCAACCAGAAGGGACTCACCAGGAATACAATTAAATCCTAATCTGGGGAGGAGGAATCCTCTGCAGGCTTTCTTCTAACCTGCCGCCCTCTCCCCCATTTTCATTTCACAGTCAGATAAAATGCAGCAGAGGAAGGGGAAATACAGGAGAGGTGGAGTGCTGTGTGATTTGCCTGCCCTGAAGGACTGCATAAACACAGGGAGCGCTGGGTGGAAAGGGGGTAAATCTACAGTTCTGATCCTGGTGAGTGAAAATAAAGGCCTAACTTTAGTCACAGGGGAAACTACCTGCCTGCAGAGGGTTTCCACCTGTGAGTGATGTTAATCAGGTGCAGGAAGTCTCTGCTTCTGGAGGAAGAATCCTTCTCACACCCTGGCTTTGACTGTTAGCTCAGTTCTAGACTGCAGAGCAAAATTGATTTTCCTATCTGTTGTGTGCTATTTAGTCTCCACCTGCAGCAGAGAACTGTTTGCTTGCTGACGTTTATTAGCAAAGGGGTTAACTTCCAAGCTGCTTTGACCAGTGCCCCTCAAAAGATGATCTGAGAAGATGGATGGGACAGGGCTTCAGATGATGTGGCTCTTGTAACAGCACAAAACTCCGTCTGACTGCTCTTCATCCATCTTGCTTTTGGGGAAGGCATAGAGCAGGTGTGTTTTCCTAGTGCATGCCACTTTTTGGCATATACCACTAAAATGAATTAAAGTGATGAATACCTGAATTTGTATAAGGATGTTTAAAGCTTGAAAAGCAGCCTGTATTCTTCATCCTCTCACTATCAGACTTCTTTGAGTGTGTGAGACCCAAATGTGATCAGGTGTTTTTAGAGCTTTTCCAAAGTCACATGTCTTTTATCATCAAGCTCAGGCAAAAAGCAAAGTGATTTATTTCTTCCTGAAATGGTCTCCACAGAAAGAAAGACCGCCCCCTGCCGCGCCCCCCCCCCCCCAAAAAAAAAGATTAGTTCTCTTTCTGTGGGGTGTTACGTCTGTAAATGAGGAAAGAATGTGTGGAGTGGGACATGCATTAACAAATCTGTATTAGGAGCTCCATGTAAGTCCATATTCTCTTCTGCTGAAGGATGAGCTCTGCAGTTTTACCAGGTATAGAAGGACTCTTGTGGA